GAAACTCCCAAAAAGGTGGGGAAGGCGAATCCACTGTGTTTGCACTTTTATAGTTTTTTCACCTTCACCTGTATCCATACCGTTGTCCGTGCCGCATGTCCAATGTTCTCTTCTTCTTCTTCTTTTTCTTCTCCTTCTCCTTCTCCTTCTCCTTCTCCTTCTTCTTCTTCTTTTTCTTTTTCTTTTTCTTCTTCTTCCTCCTCTTCTTCTTCTTTTTCTTCGCCTTCTCCTTCTCTTTCTCCTTTTCCTTCTTCTTTTTCTTCTTCTTCTTCTTCCTCCTCTTCTTCTTCTTCTTCTTCTTCTTTTTCTTTTTCTTCTTCTTTTTCTTCTTCTTCTTTTTCTTCTTCTTCGTTTAATCTCTTCTCTGTAAAAAGATAAGGGGTGGGGAGGGGGGGCGTATTCATAAATATCATTTACGCTCTTAGGGGTGTTTCATAAGGGGTACTAAACACACGGGCAAACATAAGAAAGTATAAGATAAAAACAGTTACCCTGCTCCAATTCCTATTTGCACTTCCTCGTGGTGAGGAAAGGGTTACAGATATTAGATACACACGAGACCTTCAGAATGGCAAATTCTATCTACATGTACAACAAAAGAATGCATTTGGGAGAAGGGGAGAAGCAACAAGAAATATTGATTCCAAATTTAATGTAAAATATCCGGTAATTCAACTGATCCGAAAGGAACACATCATTTACTGGTTCAAAATGTGGAACTTTGCTAGCTATTGGTCCACGGGGAATTCTCCAAGGCAGATAGGCAGGTATATAGGCTAGGCAGGTAAGTAGCAGGTGTGCATGTAAGTGGGTAGGTAAGCAGGTAGCAAGCAAACAAACAAGCAGCCAAATAGACAGGTAGATAGGTAGATATGTATAGTAAGTAGGTACGCTGGTATGCTTGGTAGCAAGTAGCTATCTTTAATTTAGTAAGAGTTTTACGGCACTTGCAACACAACAAGGTCATATAAGTGTCGAAGAATAGATGTGTTACAAGAGAGCAAAATACTCAAAAAAGGAGGAGAGATAAGGACGACTGATGTTTGATAGGAAAGAAGAAGCAAACCACAATTGAGCACCCGCCAACCCCCCACTACTAGCTATCTAGCTAGCAAGGTGTATAGATAAGTAGGCAGGTACACAAGTAAATAGGCTGGAAGATCTTAATCGAACTTGTATTTATTGTCGGTGATTGGGGGAGGGGATGGGGTTTAATTAACAAACTACCGTAAATAGGAGTAGGGAGTAAATTGTAACAATGTCGGTTCGATACCACATTTAGGGGATATTTTTTCCTTTATCTTTTTTGTTGGGGTGGGGAGTTGCATCCCATTAAATACTGGTTAATACTAACATCACGGTTGGTCGAAGATAACAGGTTACAGTGTTACAATCAATACACAAATTACACCCTTCGTGAGTGATTTATTGGGTGAAAGACACATTCAGTACGTGAATATAATGTTGATGATTAAGTTGTTTTACGAAACCTTGAGTTTAAAGTAGACAGATGAATTAATGAAGATATCAGTGATTTCTCTTATCCTCCTTTCCTTCTGCCTGGCTGTTCAGTTCGCCTTCTCTCTCTCTCTCTCTCTCTCTCTCTCTCTCTCTCT